ACAAATGGTCCCAACCACCACTGGGCTGGATTGTCCAGAAGGGCTATCTAAGCAGAGCACAGGGGCGCTGCTCTTCCTGGAGCCTCTCCCAGAGCAGAAAGTCTACACTTGGCCTGGGGAAAGGGGACAGGCTGAGCCAGCTGGGAAAGAAGCTCCAGGGGATCTCAGGGCAGTGAACCGATAAAAAAGGCACAGCTCTCTCCTTCCTCTTGAACTCCTGACTGCTCCCAAGGCATAAGCCCTCACCAGAGGGAAGAGAACAGCCTCTGTTCCGCAGCTGTCCCGCCTCCACCCTAGACCAGCCAAGCAACGCTGGGGGATTCATTCAAGCTGTGGAGCCCACATATCCTAAAATAAACGCACGCTACTGTGGTCTGCTTTTAATGTAAGTGCTGTGCCGCCACACATGGGGTTTGCTATTGACACCAAGACCAACACGCCTTTTATCACTGCTTTAATGCCAAGGAATCCTAAATTGCTCCGTAATTAGGTTTAATGACCAAGTAATTCTAGGCCACGGCTATCCTTTAATGTTTAGCTTAGAGGCATTTTTTCTGGCTGCATCTCTACGGGCATTGCTTTTGTGTTTTTGCAGTTCTACTTCAAAATCTTTGCAAACGGGCCAGATGTTTTCCAGCTATGAAACTACAAGGCCAGTTTGTGTCATGTCACCCTTGTTCCCTCCCTGCAATTTTTGGGGAGGCTTGAGCACCAGTATTAATAAGGCTCAGGGTGACACGGCTCTCACAGTAGACAGATTCTGAAGGTGGCAATGAGAGCAGCTTCAAGGCTCAACACCGGCTCAGAGAACTCCTCCTTCCCACTGTCTCGGCCATCGTTCTGCTTCCTACGTGGGCCTCTCAGCCATTCAACTCCCTGACTGCAATATAGACCCACTACCTCACTAGCAGCAGCAGGGGGGCTTGGGGGCTGGGGAGTCTGCGGATGTCCAGATGGAAAGGCCTTGAAGAAAGCAACGCTATCCCAGGTGAAGTTGACAGAACTTGTTTTCTGAGCCCCTTTACCTCTCGTGGTGTCCCCGGTGTCCCCAGTGTTCTGTACCGAGCTTCACTCTCCCCAGCAGAACCCACCCAGACTTGATCCCAAGGACAACATCTCCATTCAAGTCCTTTCCTTTCCCTAACCTCCTCTCATCTGAATTTGAATTTACCTGTCCTTTGTCCTAGAACCATAATGTCTTACAGGAGCCCTGGTAGACCAGCCTTTGAAAATTAGCCATGCAGAAGTATGCACACGTAGGTGTGCCAAAGAATGATGAAATGCAAAGATGAAGCTGAATTTTTTGCTTCCTGGGGCAAAGGAAAACTGTGCTGGTCATGAGTGCTGACCTTACGTAGTGTTTTTGTCAGTGGTGTGCTGGTAAACCAGCTCTCTGAGAAGAGGGAAAAAAGAGCCCTGGTTTGTAGCACTTGCCGATTTCCATAGAGTAAACACTCCCATGATGGCCCGATCTCAAGCTATTGGCAATTGAACAAATGGCCCACAAATTTCCTGAACATTTATCAGTTGGCTCTCGCTAGCCCCATAGGCTAGCTCTTGCACACCACTTGGTCGGGAAGCATGGAGTTCAGTCATTTGCAGACTTCCAGGCATGTAAGAGGGTTGATATCCTCTGCAGGAACAGCGTTACTTGGTTGAGACTGTTGTTGACTGGTTGGCCCTCAGAGGGGCTGGTCCTGGAGTGAGTCCATCTCTGATTGGTTGACTTGTTAAGCTTTTACTGAGATGTGTTGTCATTGATCCAATGAACAGGTTCGAAACAGCTGCCTATGGGTATATAAAAATCTGTCCTTGCCCAAGTCCGAGGGAACATTTTTATTCTCAGGTGTTGCCCACACCAGATAAAAATTTTAACAAAGGCTTTTTTAGTGGTCACTGGGACAATCAAAATTTCAGTTAGAATAATAGCTTCTGGATGGCTAGTGAAGCTGAGTGAAGAAAATCCCCACTAACATTAAAATGGACACATCTTAATAAGATGTGTTTCCTGTATCTTTTTCTCCTATTTCCAGTTTCATGAGCTTCCATGAATCTGGCCCTGACTAGAGAATTTTTGTTCAGTATCTCCCATTCATTTTAGGGAAACGATCTGAGGTTTCCACTTTGAGATTAAATACCAGGCATCTCTCCTCCTCAGACCTCTGCTACAGATAAACAGGGAACTGAAATGCGTTAACAGGATGCCATGTGTGACTGGTCCCCAGAGGAAGTCTGTGTCTGACTTCTAATCCGCATGTCTTCTCTGTACCCCCGACCCTTCCCCCCCACCCCGTCCCCCCACACAGGCTGATTCCTTGATCTATGAATGTCGAATAGGAATTCTTTGTGAATCAGAGATGGCGGAGGCTAGAGTGGCACCCATATATTCCTTAACTCACACTAGAATGGCCCACAATACTTATTGTACTGTTTTGTCCCTGATGGTTAATTTTCAAAATGGTTTGAATCTGGTATCTATTTGCTGTTATCAACACCATCTCATGTTACCTTGGTAATGGAATCCCTTCTCTTCTCCAATTATACATCCTCTCTGAGACTGTGTCCACCCACCCAATGGTTAAGAGCAGGGACTTGGGTGGCAGAGGAGGCTGAGTTTAAACATCAGTCCTTACCTACCACCTGTGCGCCTGTGTGACCTCAGTAAGAATCACTTATGTAAACAACAAAAATCCCAACAAGAGACTGTGAACTCTGCACTCAGGGAAGATTTGCTCACGGCTGCCGAGCAGCCACTATGTGTTCAATTCATTTCTCTGTGTGAGGAAGCGAGAGTGGAGAGGCAGAGGATTAAAAGTGAATCATTAGGTGGAGAGGCAGAAGGGGGCCATACAGCTTTGCTCTCTGTTCCCAACGTTCAGGCTCAGCCCCAGGTCCCTGGTTCCCCACCAGCCTTATCACCCCCTCTGTATCCCTCAAACTCTTGGGTCTTCAAATCCAGCGGCCTTTCCTCGATACACACTACCTCTGATCTCTCAGGGAATGTTTAACCCTGCTGGCCATCTCCTGCCCCCTCTGTTCTGGGTCATTCTTTTGGAAAAGCAGCCTAGTGAATTGCCTGTAGGCCTGGACTCTGGAGCCGGCCTGCCTGGGTCCTGACTCTACCACTAATTGCTTGGGCAGGTGACTTAGCCGATTTGAGCCTCAGTTTCCTTATCTGTAATATGGATGTGATAATAGTGCCCGCCTCACTGTATTGTCATGAAGACTAAATGATTCACCGTATGTAAAAGTGACATTGGATACCGGAAGCGCTATGTGAGGGCTTGTTATTACTACCCTGGCCCTCCTTTCCCACGCCTTGTTTTCTGAGTCCATTCCTTCCAGCAGTTCCTCTTATCTGAAGGTGCCCCCCCCCCACCGCCAAGTTCTAACCTCAGCCTTCTCTCTAGCAATACCCCCCAATGAATTCATTAGTTTTCCAAGTTCCAAGCATCACCCCTATGCTGCTGACTCTCCAGTCAGTGTCTATGGCCTGGATCCCTCACCTAGAAACCTCCCTGCCTTTCTGCTTCAGTGGGTCACTAGCCTCTCGAATCCAACACGTCGTCCTGCACTACATTCAACAGCTTCCCCTTTAAGCCGGATCCCCTTCCCGCTCCCACTGATGACAGTTGTTATTCTGATTCCTCCAGTCTCCAAATCGTGCCCACTTCTCCCTCTGTTCATGTCTAATTTATTACTAGACCCTACTGTTCTTCCTTGACCGTCCCTCTAATTCACCCCTTCCTCTGCCTCGCACTGGCACCACCGCCCAGCCCATCATTACTGGAACAGATCCTTACTCAGCTTCACGGTGGGTCTCGTGCTCATTCAACGGAAGTGGTTCTCAACTGGCATAATTGGCATTCGGGGTTAGTGGGGGAGAGTAAGAGGCTGCCCTGCTAGGAGGCTGCCTGGATTTGCATCCTCCTGGGCAGTACATTCAGCATTGCTGGCTCCCAGCACTGAGTGCCAACTCTATACCCCACCCCCCAATCCTGAGGTTAGGACAACTTAGAACACACACACACACACACACACACACATACTTCCAGGTGGCCTCTGTTGGAGGGAGGGAGGGTGGAGGCATTACTACCCCAGCTGAGAGTCACTGAGCCTCTTCCAAGTCGAATCCATCCCACAAAACCACCTCAGATAAACCTCAAACACAGATTACTCAAAGCTCCTCCAGAACGTCTCCCTTCCTGCCTGCCTCCTTCATCACCCCTTCTTTCTCAGGTCAGCCATGCCCCGGCCCGCCCTCAATACCCCACTTCATTTTCACCCCTCCCCTGGTCAGTACAGTCCTTCCATCTTCTTGCCATCTTTCCCTGGGGTTCCGGACTCAGGCGCTTCCTGTTCCTCTTAGCCTCCTAACCTTTGTATTCATATCCTAGTAATCCCCCAGACCTGGTTCAGCCTTTTTCTAGCTGCCCCACCAAACCCCCAAGCCTTCTCAAAACACCTTACCATCAGTTCCACCCAGTTCGTCTCTGTTTTACTCTCTTGTCGTTTGCCTGTTTATGGCCTTGTCTACTGAATTGGACACTCAGATTGGAGGACAGCAGCCACTCTTATCTGTGACCCACAGGGCTGGTGCAATGAAGGGTAGCGAGCCCCTACGTAGATGCCCCTTTTTTATTCCAAAGTTCTTGATCAAAACCTGACCACTTAACCCGCAGCCCCCGCCCCCAGCCTGTGATGTGCCCCTTCAGAAAGATTTTAGCAGCCTCAGAGGACTGGAGCCAGGGAAGATGTCGCCCCCTCAACAGCTTTTTACTGAGGACCCAGGAGTAAAGGGAGCTTGGCGCCAGCAGGTGACAAGCTGACCACCAGAGAGAAATGATGTCTCTGTCACACACTGATTTGTTTACATGGCAGAGGCTGATAATGAAGCTGACCTGCCTATGTTTCCTCCTCTCCCGAAGCCCCACCATCCACTTGCCCTCATCACAAGAATACAGAAGTTGGAAACCAAGCAACATGGCCAGTGTCTTTACCTTCTTCCAGCTGGTGGACGTCAGTGCTGTCTTTCAAGTCTTCATCCACCCAGGGGCGAGCCTCCGCCATGGCTCTAGGCTCCCCCTTCCTCCTCTGGGTGCCTCCATCAGCATTTTGAAAGATCCACACCATCAAAAGGCAGACAACTGCTACCAAGACTGAAGTCAGAAGAAACATGGCGCTGAGGCTGATTCTGAATGGGGCCAATACTTCCGAGGCCGGTATTTAAACAAACGGGGACAGCAGTGGGGAATGCCGGGAGACGGAGTGAAGGAAGGAGAGGGGGGCCGGGGGAAGGAACAGAGTGAACTCGCTGACTCTGCAAGGACTTTGCAAAGGAGAAAAGATCACAGCCGTGTGGCTCTGGGAATGCACTGGTGCGTGAACTTTTTTAAACTGTGTGCTCCATCAATATATTCTTAGACAGTAATTGCCAGGATTTGAGGAAACACTTTAATGCACTAGATCTTACCAGCAGTGGTGGAAAGTGTTTACTCCTCCTCCTGTGGATTCTCTCTGACAGCAGTGAGTCTTCAACTGACCCGAAGCTAGGAATCACCTGGAGTTGGCCCCTTCTCAACCAATCTCCATGCCCCTTTTGAGCGATTACCAAATCTCCTGGGATCTTGTCCTGAGGTTTTGGAGACGGGGAAGGATTGCCTATCTCAGGCCTCTCACTCACATTTTGCCTTATATGTATCTACATTATTTGAATTTTTTTCAACCAGCATGAACTATTGTTTTCTACATTTTTATTGTGATAAAATATAATAATATCAATATAAAATTTACCATCTTAGCCCGTCCGGTTCAATGGCACTAAGTACATTCACAATGTTGTACACCCATCACCACTCTTCCCCAAACTGCTTCATCGTCCCAAACGGAAACCCTCTAATCATTACGCAGTAACTACCCCCTTCCTTTTCCCACAGGCCCTGGTAACCTCTAACCCACTTCCTGTCGCTATGATTCTGACTATTCTAGGAACCCCTAAGTGCAATCATAGACTATTTGTCTTTTTGTGAGTGGCTTGTTTCACTTAACAGAAGGTCTTCAAGGTTCATCTATGTTTTAACAGGTATCAGAACTTCATTTTCATGGCTTAGCAGGGGCTATTTATTTTTCTAATTAAAAATAGATACTAGGGCTTCCCTGGTGGCGCAGTGGTTGAGAGTCCGCCTGCCGATGCAGGGGACACGGGTTCGTGCCCCGGTCCGGGAAGATCCCACATGCCGTGGAGCGGCTGGGCCCGTGAGCCATGGCCGCTGAGCCTGCGCGTCCGGAGCCTGTGCTCCGCAACGGGAGAGGCCACAACAGTGAGAGGCCCACGTGCCGCAAAAAAAAAAAAAAGATACTAAATAAATACCTTGTGATATTTTTAAAGATCGTTACAATGCAGTGCCATGAGTGCTATGACAGACGAGCACTCTGGGTCCCTCATTCTGTCTGAGGCAGGACAAGACCCCACAGAGGACAGAAAGCTTTTACTGTCTTGACAAACCCAGTGTGACCTGGGACAGTGCTACTCAAACGGCTTATGCCAAAATCTAATCAATGCATTCTTCCTTTCCTTGACAAACTCTCTCCAAAAAAATAAATAAATACAAATGAAAAAGTCAGCTGGCCTAGGCAGCATGTACTGTAGTGACATGGTTGCTTTGCCTGAATTTCCATCCTAGTGTGTGCTCTGTGCCTCACTGTGACTGGTTAACAAGAGTGGATGGACCGCCGGTCTGCAGACCACGTGGTGAATAACATTAGTCTAGAAAACACATTTTCCCGAGACACACATGACTTTTAACTTCCATTGCTGATGGTGAATCTGATTATCCCTGTCCCTGTGTCCTCCTTGCTTTCATAACATCCCACAAGTGTATTTGCAGGGGAAGTCAAATGAGGTGAAAGAGAACTTTCCAGGAAAGAGACTTCCTGGGGTGTTGAGTGAGGGAACATAGTTTCTAATGATTCACACGAGCAACCTTCATCAAGCATTTCTCTCAAGTGCTCATTTAGCAAGTGTTATATCAAGTATTCAAGCTAAAGGCTTGAAATAGGATGTGCCTATGTCTGCAGCAAAATCTTATCTCAGTGCAAGTGTGAAGTTGGGGGGAAATTTTCAAAATATTTTTAAACCTAATTGGCCTCACCTATACACAATCCATACTCACTAATAACATAAATACCATCAAAGGGTATTTATTTTATATAGATCTAATGCCCAGAGGGCTGTGTGATGCAAAAGTTTATGTTACTATGTGTAAGCACTGTGTTGATTCCTTATCTACTTTATCCCATTTAATCCACAGGATGAGGCACTTTAAAAGAAATTCCACTGCTCTAGCAATTCCACTACTGGGTGTACATACAAAAGAATTGAAAGCAGGGTCTCAAAGAGATATTCACACACTTATGTTCATAGCACCATTTTTCACCATAGCCAAGAGATGGGAGCAACCCAAGTGTCCACGGACAGATGAATGAATAAACAAACTACGGTATATAGAGACACTGGAATATTATTCAGCCTTAAAAAAAAAAGAGGGAAATTCTGACACATGATGCAGCATAGATGAATTTTGAAGACATTTGCTGAGTGAAAAAAGCCAGTCACAAAGATATAAAACTTGTACAATCCACATATATGAGGTATATAGTGTAGTCAAATTCATAAAGACAGAAAGTAAAATGGTTGTTGACTGTGGCTGGGAGAGGGGGGAAAGGAGAGTTATCGTCTAATGGGTGCAGACTTTCAGTTTTGCAAGATGAAAAGAGTTCTGGAGATGGATGGTGGTGATGGATGGTGGTGATGGTGGCACAACAGTGGGAATGTACTTAGCACTACTGAACCCACTTAAAAATAGCAAAGACGGTAAATTTTATATTGTGTATATTTTACCCCCAAAAATGTTTTAATTAAAAAAACCTCCACTGCCCTGAAGAAAATGAACAGCTTATAGACTGTAGCTAAGGCACAGTGAGTGAGTTAGAACAAGGTCCTCCAAGTGTGGTCCTGGATGCCCACCATCAGCATCCCCGGGTGATTTGTTAGAAATGCAGATTCTCGGGCCCTACCCCTGACCCACTGAATCAGAAACTCTGGGGGTGGGCCCAGCACTCTGTGTTTCAAGAAACTCTCCAGGTGACTCTGACACTTGCCGAAGTCTGAGAACCACTGGCCTCAAGAAATGCTCTCTCTTCACACTCCCTACTTTACCCCAAATTTAGATTCTCTACGCTCAAGTCCTCTCCCCATCCAAAAGAGCAAAGTATTGTAAACATCAAATGTTTATTGAAACGTTTTCCTACATGGCGTCTCAATAAAGCTCAGAATGCTGCATATAATAAACTCCCAATAAATATAAATGCAAAGTTTTAAGAATGGAGGTGATGTTTTAAAAACTATATTAAGGACGATTAATCTGGTCACAAACTCAGTTGTCAATAAAGGCTGTGACCAGGAAGCTCAGTCAAAGAAGATATGGTATATATAGAGAATGGAATATTACTCAGCCGTAAAAAGAATGAAATAATGCCATTTGCAGCAACATGGATGGACCTAGAGATTATCATACTAAGTGAAATAAGTCAGACAGAAAAAGACAAATACCATATGATATCACTTAAATGTGGAATCTAGAAAAAGGATACAAATGAACTTATTTATAAAAAAAAAAACAAAACAGACTCACAGACATAGAAAACCAACTTATGGTTAACAAAGGGGAAAGATAGTGTGGGATAAATTAGAAATTTGGGAGTAACATACACACACTACTGTATATAAAATAGATAACCAACAGGGACCTACTGTATAGCACAGGGAACTCTACTCAATATTTTGCAATAACCTACATGGAAAAAGAATCTGAAAAAGAAATATATATATGTGTGTATATGTGATATATATGAATCATTTTGCTGTACACCTGAAACTAATACAACATTGTAAATCAACTATACTTCAATTGAAAAAAAAGAAGAAGAACCATTGCAGCCGTTCAGATGAGAGTTAACTGAGGGCTCATCAGGGGAGAAAACTGTGGGACTGGGAAGAGGAAATGGTGGCATAAAGGTTGGAGGTGGTGGAAGTGACAAGGTCCAGGCATGGGGGTTTCTAGAGCGGGAATCAAAAATTACATCCCTCCTTCTCCAAGCATATTCCAATCTGTATTTTGTTTCACTCTTTACTTTCTCTGGGGAAAAGAGTTTGGGATTTCACGGGGTTCGTGTTATTTAACCCAATGAGCATTTAAGAGGAGAGACTGGAGGGAGAGACTCTTCTAGAAAGAGCTCTCAGGAAAAAAGCCGAAAAGAAAATACGGGTCTCACAAAGCTGGGGATTGTTCCGCAGCGTGATTCATCAAGTGAGACTGTCTCTGCCCCTATCAAAACATGACTCCTGTGACTGGGGGATTTCCTGAGTGTTTCTTTTCCTCACCCAAGCAATATCCAAACAGCACTGCTCAGTCATGGATTGGGGCCCACAGAAGAAAAATTACAGGAATTCTCCAACGACTGTATTATATTATCTTTGGAAAATAAAGCCTTTTTATGAATGAGCTTAGCCACAAAGAAAATGGCATCCATTCTAGACAAGAAGACAAAAACACTGTGGTGATATTAGTCAGAAACATTTTTAATAGAAAAATGCCATGTTCCAGAGCAACGTTATTCAGCATTTATCAATACTGTATTTGCTTCCTATAAGATTCATTATTGCTTTTCCACACCTTAAAAAAATTATCATCTGAACCAGTGGTGGTTTCTCAGTATTATTTCTCCTCTAAGAACAAATTACAAGGCAGAATTTTGACAAAACAAGGTGGTTCTTAAGAAAGGCATTTAAGGGGATGCCTGGTGTGTTCATTTTCAAGGTCTGCTGTAACAAAGTCCCACAAACTGGGTGGCTTAAAACAACAAAACTGTATTGTCTCACAGTTCTGGATGCCAGAAGTCTGAAAGCAAGGTGTCAGCAGGGCCAGGCTCCCACTGAAGGCTCTAAGGAAGAATCCGTTCCAGGCCTTTCTCTTCACTCCTGGTAGAGGCCAACACACGGCATTCTCTCTGTGTGTCTTCACCTCCTCCTCCCCCGAGGGTCTCTGTGTGTTTCTCCTCTTCTTAAAAGGACACCAATCATTTTAGATGTGGGCCCACCCTAATGGCCCAAAATTTATGTATTTCCAAATAAAGTCACATTTGCACGTTCCAGGTGGACGTGAACATATCTCTGGG